CTGCAACTCTACTGCTTTATTACCAGTATGTCCACCACCTGTTACCACCTGAAGGCACCTGGTAGGCATGCTCCACAGGACTTACCCCATGTTCACACACCCAGATACCACAACAAAACAAGGATTTTGCGTCCTTGTTCAAATTTCCCAGAGTTCTTTATTATTTGGCTGAGACAATGACAACCCACCTAGTCACCTTTCCCTACTCAACAGTGGCGCTCCACAGCACCCCTGACTCCCACTTTGGTGGCTCTGGGGACAGCTGGGGCGGCCAGAAGAGTCACTACTGTCCTTGTGTTACAGCATGAAAAATCACAGAACTTTAGGTGCCCTGACTGATCAAGAGCTGGCTGAGTTGGAAAAATCTATTTCTCATTTAGATCATCCCTTAGTTCTTTAGCAGAAACAGTGTTACAGAACCGCTGGAGATTAGACCTCCTCTTACAACAGGGAGGACTATGCCTGGTCCTAGGAGAACAATGTAGCTTTTGAGCTAATCACTCAGGGGTGATAAAAGAATCTCCTCCTCTGTCCCTGGTGCACAAAAGGTTACAGGATAGGAAAAAAAAAAAAATGGAGGAACAATTCGAACTGGTATGAAACCTAGTTCTTGCAGTCCCCATGGGCTACCACCTTAATAACCACATTGGCAGGATCCCTATTAATCCTATTGTTAGCTCTAATTTCTGGGCCTTGCATAGCTAATACACTTCTCTGTATTATAAAAGAATGCGTGGAGCAATTAAACCAATGGTCCTTCACAGCCAATATACACCCCCGCCTACAAATGATACAAAGCCCATTAAGTTCAAAGATTTGACTTATGTTTCAACTCAAGGGGTGAATGAAGAGACCAGGACCAGTTGTTTTTTCCAGGGCCAGTTTGCTAAGACCTCTGTATCATATTATCCCACCATCCTATGTTGACTCATGTCTGGGTTCAACCAGACCCTCAGGAGATACGTCCAGTCTGATAGACAATCAGGGTCCTACCCAGCCATAAGCAGGAGCTGTTCTTGCTATTTTCAGTCAAACAGACCCGACACTGCAACCACAGTTGCAGACCAGATGTCATGAGTCAAACATAAAACGATTCCTGTACCAGTAAGGGTCTATACCCAATCACTTCAAAGTACTCTTAACCACAATTGCAATTCTCCTAAGCAGGCTTAAAAGGGGCTGCCTCTGGGGGTCAATGCCATTTTGGATGGACCCCAGCATGCTGACTTATCTTTCTGCAACTGCATATGGGGTGTCTTTTGGTCATCTGGGCCATCTAAGAACCCCACACAAACCACCCAGACCCGTTAGAACAACAGTGTGTGACAACTTCTGTCATAGATAAAAGTATTTTGCCCTTGAAATTGAAGACTTTCAATAGCTTGGTAGAGTTGGGAGGAGGGGAGCCGGGAACCCAAATAGCTGCACCCATCCTATAAATCTGGAGCCCAAGACTCAGAAGGCTGAAGCCACAGGAGGATTCTAAGTTTGAGTCAGCTTGGGTTATATAGCAAGACTGTCTCAAAAAGAGACAGTATTTGTAAATGACTACCGGAATTCTCTAGTCATGTTCCAACCCACTCTCCTGAGCAGTTCAATTAATAAACTATTCTTTCAAAAAGTAAGTAACTTTTTGAAAGAATATTGAGCCCTTTCTATATTGAGACCAACCGAAGTGTCTATTTAACCAAGGAGAATGTTCTAAGTGAGAAACATCAGGGGAAAAAGTGTCAGGTCTGAGGACTTGCATTTGCTTGGCACTCCTGGTGCAGGCCTGAGGTTAAAGATGTAGGCAAAGCAGGGAGTGAGGCAGCCCCAAACCAATCACACATATTGAGCAGGAGGACATGATGAAACCATGTGTACTGGAGGCCAGAAGACGGTGTGGAGTCTGATGTTGCATCCAATAACTGACAGTGGTGGCAAGGCTGGAAATAAGATTAGAAATGCAGGAATAGCCAGTGTGAACTCCCAAGCAGGCCTGAAAGGTGGTTAGACAGCAGAACCCTGAACCATGCAAAGGACTCAAGAAAAGAAGAGGGTAATCCACACAGAGCTGGACGGCTGTACAGGACACCAAATGGAGATTTCTAGTAGTAAGTTGCTAGAGATGGAGGTCTGGCATTCAGGAGATAAACTGGGGCTCATTTATACCAGAACCATTTCTTGAGTATCAGTGTGCGCTAGTCACTGCTCTGAGCATCAGTTTATCTCCAGAATAAACACTGTGAGCCGGACCATACCTCTGAGAGTCTTACACTGTCTGTGAGGAAGGTGGACTATCATAGTTTGAACAGCAAGTGACCCCCAAGGGCCATGTATTCAAAGCCTGGTCTTCAGGCTTTGCTACTCGAAGGTAGTGGAACCTCTATGGGGTAAGCCCAGTAGAAGGAAGTTAGCTCACTGGGACTGGATGGCTGAAAAGGATATTGGGACTATGGCCCCTTCTTTCTTGTCGAGCTGCTTCCCAGTTTGATATAAGCCAAAGCAATTGTGGACTGAAACCCCTAAAGTGTGAGTGAGAACAAAACCTTCTTTCTCAGGGACCTCTGGCTTTTATTACAGAGACAGAAAGCTAACACAACCACAGGACATGTGAAATAACAGGATGCTTAGTCTTGGGTTTCTGACCTTTGTTGAGGGACTTTCTGACACACATTGTTAAACATCATCTTCATGTTCTTTTGTTTTTTCAGATTTATTTATTTATTATGAATACAGTGTTCTGTCTGCATGTGCACCTGCACGCCAGAAGAGGGCACCAGATCTCATTATAGATGGTTGTGAGCCACCATGTGGTTGTTGAGAACATAACTCAGGACCCCTAGAAGAGTAACCAGTGTTCTTAACCTCTGAGCCATCTCTCCAGCCCCCAAACATCATCTTCTTTAGAGACTGAAAAGTTTTTGAACTCTGCCAGCTCCTTAAAACCCAGCTGCTGAGGCACAGTAGTATCTGTGAGTCCAGGAATCTTCTATTGTTATAGTAGCCGAGATTGAAAACACTCAGAGTAGCATCCACAATACATCTGCACACAAACTTGTACTTCCCTCTCCAGCTCTCCTTGGTCTATAACAAAAATGTCCCTGATTCAACAACAGGTGCACCCTCTGTGGGGTCAAAGACATCTTGCTTCATGGGGAAACCTTTTTGTCATTCCCAACACCAACTGGGACCACACAAGCCTTCCACTCTTCACTCCTGCCTCCAGTCTACAAATGCTGGGGTTACAAGTGTGTACGACCATGCTCAGCCCATGTCTACTCCACAAGAGCTGGGACCTTGTTAGTCTCTGGTCAATAATTACTTGTACTATAAATAACTTAATGATCTATAGCCAAATAGTAGGTTTTTAAGGAGAAGATCAGAGTTTGGAAAACTAAACAAGAAAGGGACATTGGCTGGAAAACATGGTGAGTGTGTAATGCACATAAAATATTTACAAATTGTTTTATCAAACTGCCGTTGAGGCTGGGAAGACAGCCCAGTCATTAAGAACACTGGTCGCTCTTACAGAGAACCCAGGTTTGCTTCCCAGAACCAATACAGAGGCTTACAATCAATAATAATTTCAGTACCAGGAGACCTGAGGCTTCCAAGAGCTCCAGGAACACATGTGTATACAAACATACAAGCAAACCACTCATACCTATGAAAAATAAATCTTTTTTAAAAAATTGTAACGCAAAACCAGGCTCTAGTTGAGAATGTCGGCCTGACTTCACTCTGACCTACAGGCAAGGACATCTCTACTATAAAGATCTGATTAACTTTATTTTTCAAAAATCTACTTCTTTCCCATTTTTCCAATTCCAGCTCCATAGCACTTCCTCAGAGCAGATCCCTCTTACCGCATCACCCACTCACTAACTCATCTGCTCATTACGTTGTCAAGCCCTGTGATTATCTTGTTACAGACTAGCCATCAATAGTAACTTGACTGCTTTATCATACCCAAACACAGAGGAAGCACAAAGGTATCTGTTAGGCGGTAAGAGGCAGACCACAAGGTCCATGCAGAAGAAAGCTCTGCAAGCAGGTGTGAAGCGGGCCTTCCACCTCAGGGACAGAGGGCTATCGGAGTCCAAGAGAAGCTGGGACAGTTTATTGAGACCCTGCCTCAGCTGTGCTGATGCTGTAAGTCTGAAGTTGGTGTCAGATCCCCTGGAGCTAGGGTTACAGGCAATTAATTACAAGGCGCCTGATCCGAACGCTAGGAACTGAACTTAGGTAGGTTAAGCACTCTTAACCACTGAGCCATTTCATTTCATTTGAAGTATCATTAAGTGAAAGTCGACAGCCAAAAGTTTCTCCTTATGACCATCCGTTTAGTCCTCGCATCCTCCCGTGCCTTCCACTCCGGCCAGCAGTGCCCTGTGCACACGGGCGCCTCGGTGCGCCAGGCGGGCGTAACCAGGAAACGCACTCGAGCAGCCCTGTGGCGATCGCCTTGCGGGAGGGTGGAGAACTGGATCTAACTGCAAGTCGGCGATTTCCTTCTCATCCTTTGCAGGTGAAGCCTAAGGAGAATCCAAGTCCTAGGCTTTTGCAGAGACGCCAGATTCAACCACACTAGGATACCCCACGTGACTGAGCCAGCCAGATCTCGCGGGATTTACGATCCCGAGGACAAACCCTCCCGCCACCATTGGTCTCAACCTACCTCCTGGCGGCGACTAGTTTCTGGAGAAAAGTATCCACTATAGTGTCAAGGAGTTCCACCCTGGAGATGGTCGTGTCAACTGGCACAGATTCTGGAGATGAGCCTTCAGGCCCCTTTTCCACAGCCTCATTACTATGGTTCACGTCAGCCATGTTGAAACTGAACCGCCAAAATGAAAGGGCCCCGCAGCCCCTCCCACCAGGACCTCTGATTGGAGAAAAAAATGCCCGTCATCGAACCGGATGGGGCGGGGCAACTGCCAGAGGAGGTGGGTCAGGGACACATCGTACCTTGAATAATTTAGTTCCCGTACTGGAAAAACGTTCTCACGCTGAAGTTTAGGGGCTCAATAAAAACTTTTAATTACATTTCAATGATTTCATACAGTGCAACAGTGAATATTCGCAGCTACTATCCTTAATAGTCCATTTTTATCAAATGCTTACATGCATTTTCTTCCCCATGTTTTCCAGTCTTTTCGAGTTTCTAAATTAGGTTATGGACCAACAGGCTGAAATTTCTAGCTGTCTTGCTCTCTCCAGTTTTGGAAAAACGGGCGCCCACTGGCCTATTCTAGTCCCTGACTTCGGGTAAGAAAGTAGGGGTCAGGACAGGGTGCCTAAGGAAAGTGAGGAGAAGCAGGAAAGGGAGGAGAAGCGACAGGAGCGAGAGAGACTACACATTGCACAAAAAAATGAAGTCAGAGAAACCTGTCCAAAAAAAAAAAAAAAATTGAAGTCAGGAGGAAGAAATAACCTAAGGCGTGAGAAGCAGGACCCTCTCGTGGTGTCCTCACTCTGCCCCAGTAAGGAAGGCTCAAAGAAAGAGGAGAGACTGACTCGGAGAAGCCACGCTAGGAAAACCTTGTGGTGTGGGGGGGTCCTTGCTTCCATTGTATTGACAGTACTTAAGTGGATGTGAAGAGTAAAAAGATTTAAAATGATCTGTGGGCTCCGCCCTTCAGATGACTATGGACAAAATTGGAGGGCTCTCGCAATAAAGTGCAGGAAGTCGTAAACCCAGAACTCAGGAGGTGGAGGAGGATCAAGAGTTCAAGGCCATCCTCTGCTACATAGTGAATCAAACCCAGCCTAGGATGTCTCAAAACAACTGATATGCTGAGACCAATAAAAGTAAAGTTCAAAAGGAAACAAATACAGACTACGGAGGTCAGTACAGAGATGGAAGAATGTGGAGCAGCCATGAGAAACAAGAAGGCTTCAGTTAGCTAGCACCTTCCAGATTGGCACCATGGCGTTTCCCACAGCATGGGACCACTAAAAAAGGTTGACAGCATCACCCAGGCCATCATCTTAAGTAGGCAGTTTGACTGCCTTCTTCCCACTCCACGTGCCATGTCTCTCTGGATAGGCTTGGTGGAGGCTGGGAAGAAGCCCCTGCGGGAGGGAGCATCAACAGTTTCGGCAGTATGAGGCTGGTCACTGAAGTGGGCCTGGCCTTGGGTGTCTTCCTGACTGTTCTTTCTTCTGCTGCCAGCACAGGGTACCATGACTAGGATGACACTTCACAACCAAGAACAAGAAAAAGAAGGACAGTTCATATTCCAGAGTCCCACTGGGAGACAGCTGTTGTCATCTGGGGGACAGGTTTGTAAGTGACACTGCTGCCCGGGGCTCAGAGCCTCCATCGCTGCCTCCTGGGCTTAGCTCAGCTGGCCTGAGGAGAGAACAGTGAGGAACACACATCTCTCATTACTTTCCAAGCCAGTGGCTTTCTCAACCTGGCGTCAGGGAAATGTACCAGTGCACTCCAGTAAGTCTGATCCACTTAGAACTGTGCCCTCCACTGTCATCCCCTGGGCCAGTGGAGGCCAACAGCCCATTCTGGTCTTCAGGGTCCCAGGCCTAAAAGGAAAGGGAAGGGATAAAGAATTGGGATCTATGTCACAGTTCTCCACTTCTCCGAGGAGTGGCTTCTGACAGTAGCCTGATGCTGTCAGGACTAGCTGCCTGCTTCACAGATGTTCAACTATGCGAACCAAATGAAGCCTTGGCGTTTCTCCCTCTTAGTAGCTCCCAGAGAAGACAAACGCCCTGCAGAGTGTGCTGCTCCCAGCTGTCCCCAAAAGGCAGGGCAAAGCAGAGTAGTCCAGTGGACAACTCGGTCCCAAATTTAAGCAAGCATAAGAAATAAAGGGATAAAGGATCGGGATCGGCGTCACAGCTCTCCACTTCTCCGAGGAGTGGCTTCTGACAGTCGGCTGATGCTGTCAGGACTAGGTGCCTGCTTAGTGCCTTGGCTTAAAGTCTCATGATGAAAAAGCAGGGGGATAAGCAAACTCTATAGCAGCTCTTCTCCAGGCCTGAAGGGTGGACATAGAGAAAGGGCATCAGCGAGGGGCCAGCAGGGTCCTGTGGAGGTTGATCTTCAGGCCGTGACTGAGTATAAGGACCCAGTGAGGGGCCCAGATCTGGGAACAGGGAAGCCAGGCACAGAACCTCTTCAGCAAGAGCAGTCCAAAGTTTCTTGTCTTGTCCCAGATAGGTCAGCAGGCCAGACGCAGGATGGGTGTGTCGTGGTGGCATTCACAAGGGTACTATCCTCCCTGCTCTACCCTGGCCCAGAAGAATGTGTGAAACCACAGCCTTTCTGACTGCCATTGGCTACCAGTGTCTTGAATCTACCAGCTCAGGTCGGAGGCTGAGTTTCTTGAGGCTCTCGTAGCCCACCACAATGACGATAGTGGAGGGTGTAGCCGAGATGATTCGGGCAGAGAGGCCCTTCATGAGGCCCCAAGGCCCCTCTTCTGCCATCAGCTGTCTGAAGGTCAGGATGATGGAGCTCTTGCCTTCAACCTGGAAAAGTCACCACAGTGAAGGGCTACCAACTGTTCAGTCACAACTGCTCTGCTCACCCGCGCTGCACACCAAGGCTCAAGTGGGAACTCTGCTTCTAGGGACAGTGGTGACTTCCTCCAAGCTCTGGTGACAGACTATCTGAGTTTACTTAACCCTTCCTACCCCATTTTCCTCAAATAGAAAATGGTGATAATAGACCCTGTGTCACAAGCAAGAAGAAAGTAATACTTATAAATGCCAACCAAAGAGCCAGGCGTGGTGGTGCACACCTTTAGTCCCAGCACTGAGGAGGCAGAGGCAGGCGGATCTCTGTAAATTTGAAACAGACTACCAACAGCCTGCCTGGCAGGAGAGTGCTCACTGCCCTCAGGCAAGCTATCCAGCTCTGAGTCTTTGGACTAGGTGCTCCTCTCCATCTCAGGGAGGCTGTGTTCAATCCCCAGGAAGGCCCTCAAGCAGCTCCACCCATCCATGGCTGTCTCTGGTCATCTCAATCCCTCTCAGTTTCAGGGCTAGAAGCCCCACTCTGTTCAGTGTTGGTCACACAGTCAGTAGCCAGGTCAAGGATCTGCTTGCCCTTTTTTCCCAACAGGTCCTATCTCTTTCCCCTTCTGCCAAATTACAACTATAAAGCCCACGTCAGAGCACTTCTGCTGGCGCAAGACACAGACTCCTAGTCAGTCACACGCTCCCTGTCCAAAGCACCTTCACAAGGCCATCCCAGCCCTGTCCACCACAGCCCCCTGCTGCACCCTGCCTTCTTCAGCACCTCCTCCACATATCTTTTTCTCCTCTAGATCTCATCTCACCACTTGGCTTCCACAACCTCCTTTAGCCACATCAAGGGCATTTTCAACTTGGCCCTAGCCCTTGGTCTAGCCCCACAAAGCAGACAGAGACCTGTCTTTTCTTTAGGACTGCCTCCTAAAACACCCGGGTAAGGATAAGGAAAGAATGGGGACAGCCTTGGTTCTCCAGGATAAAGGCACTGGAGGATGCAACTCCATCCCAATCAGATGCCAGTGTATTTATTTTCAAATGTTGGAAGCACTCTTTTCCTAGGGACAGAAATTCCCTCTATCTGTTGCCCTGCTCCTCTGGACATGACAGTAGCACAAAAACAGACTTTACCCCGACCGCTAGGGCTCCTTTTCTTCCCTCCTATCCTCACCATACCCCAGTGACCTTTCTCCCATGTATCTTTTCCTGATTCTCCACCTTTCATCCTACATTACCCTAGTTACACATTACAGTCCCCCTAGGACTTGATCCAGTAAAATCGATCCTTTGCAGAGCACGTACTATATTCAGATCCTAGTTCTTGGTGCTAATTATCTTCAGAGCTCATCTTAGACAGCGTTTACAATTTCTGGGCAGCACCGAGTTGTCAGTATTTTGGATGAGTCTACACAAGTACAACCTGTGAAAGCTATTTAAAACCAGTCTCAGGCCAGTAGCATGGCTCATTGCTTACCATCAAGCCTGAAGACATGAGTTCAATCCCCTGGAACCCACATGGTGGAAAGAGAAACCAACTACTTAAGTTAACCTCTGACCTCTACATGCACATTATAGTGTATACACACACACACACACACACACACACACACCAAAACACACACAAAAACAGAAACAAAAAAAAATCCCACAAATTTCTCAGCTGGCACAGTGACATGTACCTTTAATCCCAGTACTTGGAGGGTAGAGGCAGGAAAAAAAAATCAAGAGTTCAGGGTCATCCCTAGCTACAAAGTGGGTTTAAAGCCAGCCTTGCTGAACTCTGAGATTCTGTCTCAAAAACAACAAGAAAAGACCAAATACTGGGGCACCTTTCTGTAATCTCAGTACTTGGGATTAGGAATTCAAGCTGGCCTCACTACAGCAACAGCTTTGAGACCGGACTGAACTACAGGACACCCTGTCTCAAAAACAGAGCCAAAGAGCTGCGGAGCTCAGATGGCTCAGTACTTGCTTAGAAAGTCCAGAACTTCTAAAAGCAGGTGTGAACCCCAGTGCTCAGAGGTGGAGGAGGGTCAGGAGTCAAGGGGCTAGTTATAGAGCTCAATCCAACTTGGGATACAGGAGGGCCCGTCTTTAAGGGGGGTGGGGGGAAAGCCCAGCAAGATGACTCAGTCAGTAAAGGCTCCTGCTGCCAGACCTGACAACCTGAGTTTGATTCCCAGGACCCAAGTTTTCTCCTTGACTCTGCTCATACCATGTCAATCTCATTTACACAGGCATGCACACACAATAAATAATACTTTTGAAAGGAAAAAGGACATTTTCATCTCTCTTCCCATTTTTTTTCCCCCAGTCTTGCTTCCTCCTCCCTCCTTCCAGATCACAGCTTTAAAGATCTCCTCTTTGACTTCAGTCTCTCATTCTCAGTGGATTCATGGCCAAGTGGAAAAATCAGAGACTTCTGAAGTCAATATGAAGCAGTAATTCTAATCGCCACAAGCCTGCAAGGCAAGGAAGCAGGGTGGCGTAGGGCCTAGGCTAGCAGAGTATGGAACAGATTTCAACTGAAGCCTAGAAGAAAGCAGGAAAAATTCCCAGAGGCTGGAGATGTAATGGGTAGAGAAGTACAAGGTGCAGACAGTAAGGAAAACAGACGCTTTCAAGCGCTCAGCTAGTATCTGCACAGATAAGCACAGGAAGGGACTTGGATGGTCACAAGGCTGACTAGACAGCAGGGTTATGGCACACTGAGGTCACTGGACACTGGAGGCCTACAGTTCTTGCTTCTAATCTCTGAGTCAAGGGCGGGAAGGAGGCAGTGTTACCTGCACACGGGTTCGGATGACATCCATAGGGTTGGTGAGGACGGAGGCAGTGGCTGCAGCCAGGGGCCCAGAGATGGCTTGGAAGACAATGTGAGGGCACTCCTGAGGACACAGGCGCGACAGCTGCTCTGGAATCCAGGGAAAGACAACGCCTCAAGATACAAGGTACCATCCACCTACCCTCACAGTGTCTCTACAACCAAGACAAGCCCTCAGCCCTCTGTCATCTCTACACTATATCCTTTGCATCTCTGTTTCTATCTGCATCCATCTCTGGGGCTTTTCAGGAGTCACTGTGGACACATCATCCATTTAAAAAGGACAGGACTCGAAAAGGGCTTTAAACTCTTTGCTGGTGACTCCTTTCACCTGGTAGAAAATCATTTCTGCTGTAAAAACAAGAGCACATACTGCATGTTGCCTTAGGTGGCATTCTAGTAGGAAACACTTAAAACCACAGGATTAGCCAGGCAGGGCATGGTAGCTCCAGCTTGTACTCTCGGCACCCAGAGGCTGAGGCAGGATTGCTGAGCTTCCTCTGCCAGCTAGAGATTCAGATTACTAACAACCACGACACTGATACACAGTGGTCTCTACGGAAGGGACTGGTGACTGCCTTGGATAAGGCTGCTCGTTACATACTGCAAACCTTTTCTTTTCAGAGGTTTTTACCTTTGGGGGTTGGAGGAAGACAAGGTATCATGGAGCTCAGGCTGGCCTGGAACTCAGGACGGGGGTGAGGACGAACTCTGCTCCTCCAAGCACTGGGATTGCAGACATGCGGCACTACAGCTGGTCTACACGGTGCCAGAGCAGGCTCCGAGGGCTTCATACATGCCAGGCAAGCACTCTGTGCCAATTCAGCCACATTCCTAGCACTTCAAATTCATTTGGAATTTTTGACTATGTAAACATTTTTACAAATATAAACAATATCAGAATGGAAGTCTTTTTTTTTTTTATGAATACAATACTCTGCCTGCATGTGAGCTCTGGAAGAAGAGTTAGTGCTCTTAACCGCTGAGCCATCTCTCCAGCCCCCCAGAATGGAAGTCTTACCCTGCAGTGAGGACCAGCTTATTCTAAAAAAGAAAAATGGCCTGGTGTGATGGAGCATGTCTTTAATCCCATACTTGGGAGGCAGAGAGCAGCGGATCCCTGGATTCAAGGCCAGTTTCAGACGTCCAGAGTTACACAGAAAAAGTGTCTCAAAGAAACAAAACAAACAAAAGCTGCAGCCAGGCATGGTGATCACTTGAAAGACAAAGGTATGATGGCCGGGAGTCTAAGGTCCTCTTCAGCTACAGAGTGAGCTCCAGGCCAACAGGGCCGGGAGTCTAAGGTCCTCTTCAGCTACAGAGTGAGCTCCAGGCCAACAGGGCCGGGAGTCTAAGGTCATCTTCAACTACAGGTGAGTTCCAGGCCAACTTAGACTACATGAGGCTCTGTCTCAAGAAAACAAAAGGGGTTCAGTTAGCAGAGGGTTCACCTAGCATACACGGAGCTCTGGGTTGATCCCCAACACATAAACACAGGCATGATGGCACACATCTAACTCCAACACCCCGGAAGTAGACACAGGAGGATCAGAAGTTCTAGGCTACATGAGATTCTATTTTAAAAAAGAAGGAAAAAAAAAGCCAGGCATAGTGATACATGCTTGTAATTTTTATGTCAGCCATGTCTCACAGAACAAGAACAATAACGCCAAGGCCTGTTTTCTCACAGTGCCGCTGGGGAGTGTGCCTGCAAATGAATTCTTTGCTTTATTTTCTTTTGAGGTAAGAGACACGCGCTCATTTATTTAGTCAACAAAAATTCAGTGAGTACCATGGGTTGACCAGCCTGGGTCCTGAGGGCAGGACAGTGAATAAAAGCTTGCCCTCAGGAAGCACACATTCTAGTAGGAGAGAAGGGATATTAATCAAAAAGTAAAGCATATAGCTATGTTTAAGGTGCATACTATAGCTAAAATAAAGTGGTGACGAAGACGGGAATGCCAAGGGTGGGGTGAAAACAGGCTGTGATTTTAACCGCAGCAGTCACGGCACTTCTTGAGAAAGCAAAGTGTAGAAACTACCTGGTGGTGGGAATATAAGCCATGTGTGCCTGGGCAAAAAGTTTTCCAAAGATAACGTCTATCAAAAGTGCCAAGGTAGCAGCATGCCTGCAGGGTCAGAGGCAGCAAGAGCAGACACATGGAGCAGAACAGCTGGAGCGGTGAGTAAGAGTTGAGGTGAGTAACCAAGGGTCCTGAGGACACTGGCAGAATTTAGTCACAGACTCATAATCTCAAAGATTTCCACTCAGAGTTTCTCTTCTACAGCCCTTGAGAATTCTTTTTCAGTTGCTTAGTTCTGGTAGTTTGTGGCTAGGTCAGTGAAGATTTGGGGAGCTGTGGGAAGACAGGGTTGACAGGCAGAAGCCACTGCAGTCTTAGTTGACATGGCAGAATTCTTTAAGCCTGGCAGAGCCACCTCTTCCCCAGTTCCTACCTGTGTTTTGTCCCAAAGTCAAGCATGCCAACAGAAACAGGGTGACTGAAGTCTGCCTCAAGGGTGCCCTTTTTCTCCTGAAGAAGGCATTTCGCAGTCATTAGACTGCAGCATTAGGATCTGCACTGTCTGCTTCCTGGGCCGTAGGCACTGGCCCCAGGCCTGCAAGCTGCACAGGACTCAGGTTCCAAGTCTCACTCTGTACACCGGCCACCTTCCTGGAGCTCACAGAGAGACTAGGGAGAGTGAAGAGGGTAGGACAGAGTCCATGTTGTCTTGCCTCTTTATTATTCGTTCAACAGATGTTTACTGAGCACCTAAATCTACAGGCAGAATAAACCCAGGCTGACTCAGTTTGACTATCTTCTGGCTAAGTGAATTTAGACACCAGTAATAAATGAATAATTATTTAATGTTTGCTAAATGCCAGGCATTATGATAAACATGAGATCTGTGCAGAGAAAGAAGAGCCACACATGTGGTGCATCCCTTTAACCCAATACTTGGGAGACTACATAGGAAGGCCAGGCCAGGGGGTCTACACAGAAAGACCCTGTCTCAAAAATAAAACAAATAAAAAACAGAGAACTATTTTCATTGCTCTTAAGATTCTAATTAAGAATCTAGAAGTTGAGGGTAAAATAACTGCAAATTGAAGTGTCCAGAAGGAATAAAGGAGCTAAAACATAAACAGCCTTCTTTCTAACAGGGTAAAGAAGTTCTTGCTGGGTGCAGTGGCACGCATCTTTAATCCCAGCACTCGGAAGACAGAGGTAGGCAAATCTCTGTGAGTTCCGGCATGTTCTACACATTGAGTTTCTGGACAGCTAGGACTATGAACAACCTATAGCTTTAAAAAAAAAAAAAAAAAAAGAAGTTTTGCTTTGTTTTTTTAACAAAGGTCACATATAAATTGAGGCCTGAAGCATGAGAAGCCAGCCACATGAAGAGCAGAAGAGAAGGTACTCCAGACAGAAGGCTCCACCACAGGGCCGTATGCCCAACTTTGTAACCAGAACCCGGCTCTTGGGCAGCAGAGGCAGGAGGATCACAAAGCCAAGGCCTGCGTGGACTACAGAACAAGTTCAGGTCCAACCTAGCAACTTAGTGAGATGCTGTCTCAAGTCAAAAGTATAAACAGGGGCCAGTATGTGGCTCAGTTGGTAGAGATTACCTAGCATAGCTGAAACACTGAATCTGACCCCTAGCACAGCATAAACTAGACGTGGTGCAAGCCTTTAATCCCAGCACCCAGGAGGTAGAGGAAGGGGGGTTAGAAATTCAAGGTCAAGCAGCCTGGCACACTTATCTATCAGGTAAGCTAGGGCTATATAGCAAGGCCATATTTCAGAAAGAAAAGAAAAATAAGGTCATCTTCAAGAACATAGTGAATTGGAGGCCAGCGTGGGATACAAAGTGAAAGACCCTATGTCAAAACCAAGCTGGGCATAGTGACACAAGCCTGTCATCCCAGCATGGGATGGACAGTAGAGGCAAAAGGATCATAAGCTTGAAGCCATTCTTGGCTTCTTGGATGCAGAGCAAGTTGAAGGCCAGTTTGACAATATGAGACCTTGCCTCAAATAAAAACCCACTAGGTGGGGCTGGAGAGATGGCTCAGTGGTTAAGAGCATTGCTTGCTCTTCCAAAGGTCCTGAGTTTAATTCCCAGCAACCATGAGGTGGCTCACAACCATCTGTACTGAGGTCTGCTGCCCTCTTCTGGCCTGCAGGCAGACACACAGACAGAATAGTGTATACATAATAAATTTAAGTATTTAAAAAAAAAGCACTAGGTGGCGGGCCCACGCCTGGAACCCCAGCACCAGGTGGGTAGGGGCAACAGGGTCAGTAGTTTGAGGCCAGCATGGGGTACATAAGCCCCACTCAAAAAAGAAAATGAAACAAAAACAAATTAAAAAAAAAAAACATACACACAAACTTCAAGAGCAAACACAAAATTAGTAAGTGAGGTGGTATAATTTCAACAGCATAAGAGACAAAGGCAGGACCTTGGAGAAAAATAAAATTTAAGCTGGGCATCTCTTCTTGTACCCTAGTACTTTAGAGACTGAAGCAAGAAAATTCCTAAGAGTTCAAGGTAAGCCTGAGCTACATGCTGAGTTTCAGGTTAGCCTGGGCTGTAGAATAAGAACCTATTTCAAAAACAAAACCAGTATTTAATTTTAAAGAGTCAGTGATAGAGTCCAATGGCCAAGCTTCTATCTATGTGTAAGGGTGCACGAAGCCTAGTGCTCCAACCCTCACACTACAGACAGAGTCTGCAGTGTGCAGAGCCCCGCTGTCAGAGTGTCAGCTGAGACCTCTGCACAGGTTTGGCTGACAATGCTACAGAATGTGGGCACACAGGGAAACATAACTCTAAGTATTCATGAAATCAAGTGAGAGCAAAGGCCAACAGCAGACTCCAGAGAAAACACCCTCCTGGGAACTTGCTTTAGTTCTATTTAGTCTGGCTTTTCCGCAGAGCTAGGGATTAAACCTCAGGTCTCACACATGCTAGCCAAGCTCTCCCCAACTGAGCGACAAGCCCAGCTTTCCTAAGTGTCTGCTGATGTAATCCCAGCACTTACGGAGCAAAAGCATTGCTGTTAGCTTTACAAAGACAGTCTAGGTTAAACGGGAAGACCCTGGCTCACAAGAACACTGATTGCCAGAATGTACTCCCAGAGGGCCAGAGTGACAGCGCAGGGCTCAGTTTTACCACAAAGTCTAGATGGAATACTATGACTAAGTAGAAGAAACAGAGTTAGTAAAACTAAGCTTCAGCTGGGTTTGGCAGAATGCAGCTGTGATCCTGCACTCAGTGGGGCTGATCTGATACCCTCTGTATACTCATCTCCACTCTAAAAACACACCCCTGCTCCGTAAGTGCTCCCCTTCCCAGGCCCTGCTTACCTGCATAGAAGTGATAAAAGGGCCACCATACAGCACTGTTTGGGATGTATGTTAGCAGTGAGGCCACATAGCCTCGGTAGAAGCCTCGAAGCCCGTCAGCCCGCAGGATCTGTCTGATGATGTCCTTAGTTTGGCCAAAGGCAATTAGCCCTTGTCCCTCTAGGTTCCCAGGAACTTGGAAACGGCCCATTTTCTCGCCCTTGCGCTGCATCATCAGGTGCTGAGAGACAACATCAATGGGCACTGTAATGCTCTGGGCCACGAGGGAGGCCGAGCCACCGGCTACCAGTGATTTGACTGTGTTACTCTGGCTGTAGTCGGCTACAAATTTCCGGGTAAGCTCATAAGTGGTGACATAGCATTGGCCAGAGATGAGTGTGAAGGTGTTGACCAGGAAGCCCCGGTAGAGGCCAGCCACTCCATCTGCTCGCAAGATCTTGACAAAGGCATCAAAGGTCCCATGGTAGAGGCTCTTGCCCTTCTGAACCTGCAGCCGGGTGCGAATGAGGGTGAATGGGTACACACTAACACGGATCATCATCGTCATTGCCACGCCAAACACATAGAACTTCTTCTTGTCCAGGTGCTCCCACTCGATGATCTGGATGTTTCGCTTGTCCTCCATTGTGCCCGAAGACCTGGGATTGGGGCAGGTAGGGGCATGTGAGGAAGGTCAGAACGTCACTGCGTTTCCCTCCTGCCTAGGCTTCTATGTCACCCCCTTAGACTGTATCTCTTGGGATACTCACCTCAGCAAAGCCTAGATTTCAAACTGCCTGGCTCTGTCTACCTGCAACCCAGAGCAGCCCCTCTGCACCTCTGTCTTTAACCAGTCTTTCCAACTCAGAGTTCTTCAGAAGTCATTCCTCACCACATGACAAGGCTAGATCACTCAGCCCCTACTCAGCTTGTAGGACTGTCCATTCTGAATTTTGTCTCTGCATAGGTCTTGGCATCAGAGCCCTGAACACGGAACACAGATCATTCTGTTTTACTTGCCTGGGTGCGCTTAAGACGCTGCAGACACCCATCCACCTGGCACAATTGAAGGCCTACATGGCTAATAGGACACCACTTAGTGAGACACAAAGACTGGAACGCTCCTGGTTCCCCTGAAGAAGCAACCACCTTTGTCCCTTCATCCCCAGTGTGAGTCACCTTACAACATTTGCTGCCTGTTACCTCCCTCCTGCCCGCTATGCTGGTTGCTTTGACCACCCCTGCCCCACATCACCATAATTTCTATTTTCTCTAGTCTACATTAGAAGAAAGTGTGGGGAAGAGTGCAGGCAGGGACCTCACACTACAGGGCATCCCCAACTACCTCCCCACTCTCCAGGGAAAGGAGTCTAAAAGTCGGGAACAGGGCAAAGATCAGAGTCCTCTTTGGCCATTAGCTAACCCAGGAAGACAGCCGCCTGAACAGTTTCCCTGAGAACCCAGAAAGCTGCTTGAATCTGGGCTGCTAACCCTAGTCGTACAAACCATAAAACAACAACAAAAATTTCGGGTCAGTGAGCAAATTGACGACTGTATAATGCTCAAATGTAAACAGCCCGGAGCCACACAGCCGCTCAGCGGGTCTCTACTCCACTGTGCCTCCTGGGCCACAATTTTCTCTGTTGAATTTAAAACTAAGTCCTCCATGGAAGGCAGTGTAAATGCTCTCATGCCAGCTCAGTTCTCTCAGCTCAGAGTCAGCTAGGGCTGACGAGCAGGCATGCGCTCATCACAAGACAAATACAGCAGGGCTCAATCAGGGGCCTCCTGCTGGGCATGCACAAACTGCATGCAGTGCAGGTCAGAAGGGCAGAGCAACCAAGTATTCTGTTCCAAGACTTGGTTTCCTGGGCACCTTCTTAACCTGTCAAGCTGAATCAGCCTGTACAGGCCATTTCTAATGAGCAATCCTGAGGCAGGATCCACTGCTCCATTCCCCTCTTGCCTTCATCTCTTACTTGTGTTAATTACTACAAATCCTCTGAGGGAAGCCAGGTTCGTCAAGGCGGGTAATTCCTACGTCATGGTATCAGGAGGAGCCACTAAAGCTCATGACTCAATCAATAAGGCGCCATATTAGAAGGCTAAGAGGAAAAAGAAGTTTCTCCCCCAAAAATGAGATCTCAGCTTGATCACTGTCAATAACCTCCAGATATCCTGCTGAAATACCCGTTTCTCCAGTTTCATTTGCTGGAAAATCCTCTTTGCAGAAATCTGAATACAAACATTCTAAAGCCTTCCTTTCTCCTGGTTCATCCAGTCCAACTTCTTCAAGACCCTTTGTCAGACCCTTCCTTGTGTACACGACTCCAGTTCTGGAATTTCTGGCACCTTTAAAACTGGTTATGGGGCTGGGGACACAGCTCAGCTGACAAAGTGCCTGCCTAGCATGGACCAGGCCCTGAATTCAATCCCCATCACTGTACAGCCGAGCAGGAGTGGTGCACACCTTTAGTCCCAGCACTGTGAGTTCGAGGCCAGCCTGGTCTACAGAGCGAGTTCCAGGACAGGCTCCAAAGCTACAGAGAAACCCTCTGGGGAAAAAAAAAAAAAAAAGCTGTGGTGGCCCAGGCCCACAGTCCTAGCATTTGATAAGCAAAGGCAGAAAACCACAAGTCTATAGTCATCTTTGACTATATAGCAAGACCTGAGCCAGCCACGGTTACAAGAAACCCTGCCGCAAAAACAAAACGTTGTTGTGAACTGTTAAGTCCTTTCTGTGCATCCCAATGGATTCCCCAGACTGGGAGCATTTATGCTAGAAGCTATCAAATGAAATGGAAGACAGACTAGGGCAAGCACGTATATCTGTCACTTCCACTCTCCTTACATAAACAAGATTCACAGCCAGACTGTTCTCCTGGTTTTGTTGTTGCTGCTGTTTCTGTGTTTGTTTCGTATGGGTCCATGTGGCCTATCCTCCTGTCTTCACCACTTCCTAAATGCTGGGATTACAAATGTGAGCCACCAAACCCTTGTCCAGATGATTCAGAGTTGGCACCAAGAAAAGGGCTTTCTGCATTCTACCAACTGAGCTAGAGCGTCGGCCCTCGGAGCTAATAACTGTGACAGTATTTTGTTAACCATCAAGCATTTCTCTTACTGCACAAAGTTCTATTGAGCAGTGATGCTCTAAGCCCTCGCTACCCACAGTGATCCACAGATCAGCAGTATGGGTATTACCTGGAGTTGCCTAGACAAGTGCAGAGCCAGGCGTGGCACGTTTGTCATGTCAGCCTGGGGTGCACAGCAAGACCCTGACTTGCTGGGGAAAGGGGATTTCAGGCTTCCTTACACCTGCTGATTAAGAATAACACTGACATCTCTAGATGATTTATGTAGATTGTCAAAGTGTGGGGAGCATTGTTTTAATTATTAGAGTGTCAGTTTTATAAGAATTATAACTGTTCTCGGAATCCAAGATCCTTAAAACTAGGTTAGGAGCCCTCTGACTCCATCTTGGATCTGGACACAACAATGACCAATTGGTTCATTCCAATTTTTTCTGTCGACCACATCAGATTGCCTTGTACTGGTCCTGACGAGACAGACACCCAAGGGCTGCAATCTTCAGACAGAACAACACTAACAGCTCTGCCCCATCAGACTCTGCATTCTGGGAGCTGTCACCCACTTGAACATCAACGTGTCGCGCTGGAATACCTGTCGCGCTGCCTATTCATTGCCCTTCCCTAAGTCCTGGCGATGTTTCCTCCCACTTCAAGACAGCCTACTCCCTCCGGCACGGTAAGGTTCCCACCCAGTCTTTCTTAGTCTTCAGTTTAGGTTTCCACGTGATCCCTCATCCCAGACACAACATGACAATGCCCTCCACGTACTCCACGTGACACCCTTCTTTATGCACCTTCGGTCCGGCTCTTGCACAGTCAATTCGGGGTCCCTGGGTATGCTCCTCGCCATGCTTCGCTAGTTGTCAGATTCTCATGCTCCTATGCCAAAAAGAGATGCCTCGCCGGACTTGCCTTTCGTAGCCAAAATTGCAAGGCGGCCTCCCATGGCGATGTAGCCCCGCAGAGCAGACGTCCGCTCCTCCTCGACAAGTCGGTTCTTAGGTACCTCTGATCCCTCAAAGCACACAAGAACTGTTGTCGCTTACCTTCTCAGACCCCGGCGGTTCGGCCGCGTCTGAGAACTCCAGTCCTGGACTCCTAGACTGCGGTACCCGCACTACCCTCCATTCCCAGCGACAGGCAAAATCGGTTCGCATCTTCCTCCATCTCGACAGGGATCCTTGTACTGCCGGAAGCGGAAACTGGGATGCTGTCATTCCCGCCCACTGTGAAGTTGTGTAATTCCACCAATGGCAATTCTCAGCCTTTGAGCCTCCCTCTAGGAGAGCCTCTTCGGCCATCTTGGATTAGGGAAGTAGCCACGCCTTCTTTAGCTTCCTATGCCCTCAAGTCTGTCACGCGTGCGTGTGTCCCACTAGGAATCTTCGTAATTGGCTGACTAGAAACGTAAAGTCAGAAGTAGCTGGTGCTCACTCACTTCGTCTCTCGCTCCCTTTCTCTTCGTTCCTTTCTCTCTCTTATTTTTTTCTTTATTATTTTCTTCTCGTTTTTATTTTATTTTCTTCCTGGGACAGGTCTTGTTATTAAGGCCCGGCTGGCCTCCTAATTTATGAATCCCCTCCCTCAGGCTTTCCAAATGCTTCGATTACAGACCTTCGCCTCCACGCCAAGTTTCCAGGGCTGTTCCTGACAATACATTTAAAATGAGTCACTTTTTATAAATTGATTTTCAGTAGAGAGAGGAGGGGACTCTAATCTTTAATCTTTCTGTACCTTTTCTCATTTTTGGAGCCCAAACAGTAGAGACTAAAGTGCAGCAGGCACTGGTATAGGGACTCAGGTTGTTGAAACAGCTCTGAGTCTGGTTTTACCCAAATGCAGGTTTTTAAAAGTTGTTTGTTTATTCTATGTTTTCAGTCGATGCTGGGTGGTGTTTTGTTTGCTTGTTTATTTTTGTTTGTTTGTTTTGTCAACCTGAAACCGGCTAGATTCATCTGGGAAGAGGGAATGGAAATAGAAATAATTGCTTTTAGAGGACTGGCCTGTAAGCCAGTAGGTTGGCATTTTATGGCTAATAATTGATGGAGAGGCCCAGCCCACTGCTGGTTGTGCTACCCTTGGGCAGACTGAATGGGAGCCAAGGAGAAAGCCACTGTGTGATCACTCAGTCTCCCCTTCTGCTCTGGCCTCTTGGCCCCTGCCTTGAGTTCCTGCCTTCCTTCCCTTCATTATGATCTCTAACTTTAAGATTAAGAAAATCCTGATTGGTGACAAAGAAGCAAAAAATATCAAATGGAAAAAAGAAAGCATATTTAACAAGTGGTGCTGGCATAGCTGAAGATCAACATGTAGAAGAATGAAAATAGACCCATATCTATCACCATGCACAAAACTCAAGTCCAAATGGATCAAAGACCTCAACATAAAGCCAGCCACACTGAACCTCATAGAAAAGAAAGTGGGAAGTACACTTGAATGCATTGGCACAGGACCCCAGCAGCACAGACACTGAGAGAAACAATTAATAAATGGGACCTCCTAAAACTGAAAAACTTCTGTAAAGCAAAGGACACGGTCAACAAGACAAAACGACAGCACACAGAATGGGAAAAGATCTTCACTAACCCCACATCAGATAGAGGTCTAATCTCCAAAATATACAAAGAACTCAAAAAATTGGTCACCAAAAGAACACATAATCCAATAAAAAAAAATGGGATACAGATCTAAACAGAGAACTCTCAACAAAAGGAATCTAAAATGGCTGAAAGACACTTAAGAAAATATTCAACATCCTTAGTCATCAGAGAAATGCAAATCAAAACAACTCTGGGATTTTATCTTACACCTGAAAGAATGGCCAAGATCAAAAACACTGATGACAATTTATGCTGGAGATGTTGTGGGGAAAAGGGAACAATTCTGCATTACTGGTGGGAATGCAAGCTGTCAGTGTGGTAATTTCTCAGAAAATTAGAAAACAACCTTCCTCAAGACCCAGTAATACCACTTTTGGGTATATATCCAAAGGATGCTCAATCGTGCCACAAGGACATGTGTTCAACCATGTTCATAGCAGCTTCATTTGTCAAAACCTGGAAACAACCTAAATGCCCCTCGATCGAAGAATGGATAAGGAAAATGTGGTACATTTACACAATGGACTACTACACAGCAGAAAAAAACAACAACAGCTTGAATTTTGCAGGAAAATGGATGGAGCTAGAAAACATAATTTTGAGTGAGGTAACCCAGACCCAGAAAGACAATTATCACATGTACTCACTCATAGGTTTTTTTTTATATTTATTCATTTATTATGCATACAATATCTGCCTACATGTGTGCCTGCAGGCCAGAGAGGGCACCAGATCTCACTACAGATGGTTGTGAGCCACCATATGGTTGCTGGGAATTGAACTCAGGACCTTTGGAAGAGCAGGCAATGCTCTTAACCACTAAGCCATCTCTCCAGCCCCGTCATAGGTGGTTTTTAAACATAAAGCAAAGAAAGCCAGCCTACAAACCACAATCCCAGAGAACTTAGACAACAATGAGGACACTAAGAGAGATTTACGTAGATCTAATCAACATGGAAAGTAGAAAGTAGAAAAAAACAGGTCTCCTGAGTAAATTGGGAGCATGGGGACCTTGGGGGAGGGTTGAAGGGGAGGAGGGAAGAGGCAGGGAGGGGAGCAGAGAAAAATGTAGAGCTCAATAAATATCAATTAAAAAAAAGAAAATCCTGATTGGATGTGGTTGCACATACATGCCTTTAGTTCCAGCACTTAGGAGGCAAAGGCAGAAAAATTCCTGTGAGTTCAAAGCCAGTCTGATCTACAGAGTTCCAGGACAGCCAGGAATACATAAAGAGACATGTTGGGAATATTATTTTATGGTGTGTTACTTTTATTTATGTTGAGTTTGTTTATCTGTGAAGCTGTGATAGTTTCCCTGTCTAGAACACCTGATTTGTTTAATAAGGAGATGACCGGCCAATAGCAAGGCAGGAGAAAGATAGGCAGGGCTGACACATAGAGAGAATAAATAGGATGAGAAATCTGGGGATCAAGGAACAGAAAAAGGAGGAGAGGAGGATGCAAAGGGCCAGCCATAAAAAAATAATTAAAGAAAAGACACACAAAAATAGACACAGGATGGGCTGGAGAGATGGCTCAGCGGTTAAGAGCATTGCCTGCTCTTCCAAAGGTCCTGAGTTCAATTCCCAGCAACCACATGGTGGCTCACAGCCATCTGTAGTGAGATCTGGTGTCCCCTTCTGGTGCGCAGGCATACATGCAGATAGAACACTGTATACATAATTAATAAATAAATCTATCTTAAAAAAATAGACACAAGAAAGGCCTAGAGGCAAAAGGTAGATGAGATAATTTAAGGAAAGCTAGTAGAAATAAGCCAAGCTAAAGCCAGGCACTCACTCACTCACCTACACTTCCCCGCTCACATATAAATAAATATAATAAAAAAACAAGCCATTAAAGCATATCAGAAAGAAGTATGCTATCATGAGTGACCCAAGGTCACACAAGGGCCTGGTTACTTGAAACTTTTTTTTATAAAGTTTAAAAGAAAGGAGTCTGCTGCTTCTGCCGGTTCTTAAGTTTTGTTTCGTTTGTTTGGCTGGTTTTTCTTTTTCTTTTTTTTAAACTTTATTTTATGTGCACTGGTGTGAAGTTGTCAGATCCCCTGTATTTTCAGACAGTTGTGAGCTGCCATGTGGGTGCTGGGAATTGAACCCGGGTCCTCGGGAAGAGCAATCAGTGCTCTTAACCACTGAGCCATCTCTCCAGCCCTGGTTTTTGGTTTTTCAAGACAGGGTTTCTCTGTGTATCACTGGTTGTCTTGGAACTCAGAGATCTGCCTCCTGAGTGCTGGGATTAAAGGCGTATGCCACCACCATCTGGCTTTTTTTTTTTAAGATTTATTTATTTATTATGTATACATTGTTCTGCCTGCATGTATGCCTGCATGACAGAAGAGGGCACCAGATCGCATTACAGATGACTGTGAACCACCTCGTGGTTGCTTGGGAATTGAACTCAGGACCTCTGGAAGAGCAGTCAGTGCTCTTAACCTCTGAGCCATCTCTCCAGCCCCCATCTGGCTTTTTTAAAAGATGTGTGTGTGTGTGTGTGTGTGTGTGCACGTGTATGTACTACATGTATGGCGGTACCTGAAGAGGCCAGAAGCAAGTGTCAGATCCCCTGGAGCTTGGCTGTTCTGCCCAACACTTATGCTGAGATCTGAATCAGGTGCTCTGGAAGAGCTGCAAGTCCGTTCTTAACTGCTGAGTCAGCTCTCCAGCCTCTGTTATTTCAAGCTCGTGCCCACCAGTGTTTGTGTATTTGCACACATTAGTGCAGGTCCCCAAACAAACTAGAGGAGGGAGTCAGATACCTAGAACTGGGTTTACAAGCGTTTGTGAGTCCCTGGCTGGCTTCTAAGAGCCGTCCTGGGGCTGGAGAGGTGACTCAAATTCAGTTCCCAGCACCCACGAAGTGTAACACCCGATTCTGTGTTACCCCCTCGGTACAGTTCGTGCGCCACTGTATGGTACGCACTACGCGAGTCGGGCAAGGGCCTGGAGATTGAAAGAACACACAAGAGACCTGGGTCTTAGGAAAGGAGATCTGCCGAATGCTGTTTATTTAACCTTGGGGAAATCCTTATTTATCTAGCTTCTGCACAAGGATTTCCCCTCAAGGCAGGTGGGAAATTACCATACGAAAGATGAAACAATGCGCTATACCTAATCACAAGGTGGGGCAGAGGGAGCACAGGAACAAACAGAATGTTTTTGTTAGCTGACCAGAAACTGTCCTTAAGATGCACCCCAGGAGCAGGGGCAGACCCGGGCCCTACAACGAAGTAGCTCTCAAGAGATCTGACCCCCTCTTCTGGCCTCTGCAGGCACCAGGCATGCAGGTGGTGCACACACATACATGTAAGCACGCACGCACACACATGTAGGCACGCACACACATGCATGTAGGCATACACATACATACAAGTAGGGAAAATACTCATGCACATAAAAACTTTTAAATTTTAAAAACCCACAATGAGGCACCTTATCTTACTAGAATGGCATAGTTGTTGTTGTTTTTAACGTTTTTATTCTTTTGGGGGCCTGCCACCCAGCTCCCAAATAAATTACAAGGAGGTTTTTTTTATTGTTTTTGCTTTTTCTTTTTGAGGCAAGGTTTCTCTGTGGCTTTGGATCC